CCTTAGACAAATGTGCAATTTACTTTTATCATTCACATATATGCATTGCAACTGATCCCACTGATTGTACAAAGGCACAAAACTTTAACCATTTACACATGTGCATATAAAATCTAAATGTAATTCCTGCCTACACCTTACAAACTACGGAGAGTTCTATTAAATGTGTAAAGAATAAAGTATTCACATGTCCTTGATAGCGTCTACTGTGTTGGGTCTGGGTCAGTGACAGAGACTGCTGTTGTCCTCTTCTCTGATGAAAACAATGTTGTCTTAAACTCTGATCAAAACAGTGTGTTCCCCAGTGGATACTCCATGAATTGCACCTTATTAAAAATATCCATTTTGTGTCTTTTATGCATTTTTTCACTTTTAAATGATCCTGCGGGCCTGATTGAACCTCCTTGAGGGCCGGTTGTGGCCCGCGGGCCGGATGTTTGACACCACTGCTCTAATGGCCCGCGGGCCAGATGTTTGACACCCCTGCTCTAAATTGTCCCAAGGTGTGAGTGTGAGCGTGGATGGTTGTTCGTCTGTGTGTGCTCTGCGATTGGCTGGCACCCGGTTCAGGGTGTCCCCCAGCTACTGCCTGAAGACGACTGGGATAGGCTCCAGCACCCCCAACCCCCCACCCCCCACCCCAGCAACCTTTGTGAGGATAAAGAGGCTCCGAAGATGAATGGATATATGTCATTAAAATTAAAGGTGACAATGATTAGTGTTGTTTCATCACAGAATGTATGCGAATTGATCTTAATTCAATTTTTGGATTTTGATAGACCTCTATTTGTTCGAATGACCACTGTCTCCTTTTAAAAGAAGGTTGTAAAAGCAAAGCACATAACCCTTTGACACAAATAAGTGCCAAAAAAAAATCTCTGCGTATTTTGTTCCCTGGGTCTGCATTTCCATTTGAATGATGCAACGCTATTCTTAGAACTGTGGGTGGATAGATGGGCATTATTTAGATTTTCCCTTTCACAGGCTTGTCTTTTCACTGCTGTGAGCAATTTCCAATTGAATGTTGGTTGGTGTATGGTAAAATGCACAGGCTAATGCTAATTATGTGCACAAAGCCCACTGTAAATAAATAGCGTCTCTGAAATTCTCAAGAAGGGACAAGAAGCCGCCTCATACCAGCGCGTGTGGATTTCCTTTGAAAAAGAACACCCCCCCCCCCACACACACACACACACTTTCTCGAATGAGTTGCAAACAGGTTAAACCGAAGGGTGTGATGTGATGTCATGACAGAGCAGCAGATGAGGAACCAGCAGTTGGACAAAGAGGAGTATTCAGACTTGCATCAACTCTGAGAGCAATGAGTCTAGTCATTGCTGACCTTTTGCTGAACTCTATGACAACATGTTTCCCATAAAGATTTGGGTGATGACGCTAAGGTAAAACAGATGATTCTGTGCTCCACCCTCCTCCCTCATATTCCCACAATCATACTTTATTTTTGATACGTTACCGTTCTCTGTAACTTTGGGTTGACCTCGGGTTTGCAGTCAATCAAGATGAGCAAAAAAAAAAAATGTGGTCAATGTACTGTCATCTGCCATTGAATTGCTCATCTGGGGGAATTTGTGGGATCATGACTGGCCTGTGACTAGTGTTCACACTAATTGTACTGTCTTTTTTTGTTTTTGTTTTTTGTTTTTTTTTTTCATTCCTCAAGGTATATGTGACATTTAGCGTCATGTTGCAGACGAATATTTTATACACCCTTATGTGGATCTTCAACAGCAATTGTCTACATTTTCTTTGCTTTCAAATGACATTTTATTTTGAAATGGCCCGTGACCATCCTGCTATAATGAAGAATATGATGAAAATAGAAAGCAACAGCAGCAGAAAAGGCAATAAAAGCCACTAAGCAGCGCTTTCAGACCTTTAACTCGTCCTCGGGGTATTCCATTTTTATTTTGCCCCAGATGAGAAAAAAAAAATGAGGCAGTGACAACTTCGGTTGGTTAGTCATTGGGGAATCGCAGCAGCAAAGTTCCTGAATAAATGAGCACGGGCTGATCACTAATGAAGCTGTGTTCCATGACAGATATGATGTCAATATAAAAAGAGGGAAGGAGAATAAAGGTGGAAGCCTGAGTTAAGTCATTGTTTGATTATGGAATGTTTGTCTCCAATGTGAAGCACTTTCTCAAGCTAAATGGTCAGTGAAGGTTACTTGTTGTCGAAAGTTGTCTTATCCTGACATGTCTAACGACAGGCTATCCATTTTTTTCTCCCCTAAACAGTGCTCTGGGCGGTGCCTCTGCACTTCATATCCCAGCATTCCCTAGTGGAGGATGCTTGATTGACTATGTCCCCCAGATCTGCCAGTTACTCACCAACAAGGTAAATATGCTTTCACCGTACAAAACATTGTTTTATTTTTATTTCTTTAGCAATTACCACTAACAATGTACATTTGCAACTACTGTCTACTGGTGTCGGTATCAAGCTAACAATTCCCTCTTGCTGATTTTGGACTTAGGTCTTAATTCCACGTCGTTACGAAAATATTCCACGTCGTTACGAAAATAGCTGAAAGCAAAAAACATCTTACTCTGCTTCTTCTAGTGTGTCACCTGATTCAGGCTTTGACAAACTGTCAACATGTTAGTTTTTCCCAATCTCCGGCAGCGTCCCGTAGTTCTCGTTGTGACCTGAATTGCTGGAAATTTTGCAAAAAGGTTTCCTCTGCCCGCCTCACACTCTCGTTCCTTCAGCTCTATGCAGCAGGCCCGACCACATAAAGGTTTCGATTGGATGGAGTTCAATCTTGATCAACAGTTTTTGATCTAAGAACGTTGATCTTATTCCTTTGAAAGCGTCTTTGAGCATACCGACCCTTCTTCTGATCTCTTCCTTGCTTCTACCGTCTGCAGTTATTGTGGCTCAAAGGAAAGTAAATGAAGAAATTTTTGCCAAAATTTCATTACCCGAGGTAAGTATAAACTTGGGTTCCAGTAATGACTTGGAGCCACACATAACCTGTCTTTTTACAGTTGATGCTTAAGCCCTTACTTTCGGCAGAGTTTTAGTTTCAAAGACACCATCCGATGATGTGGTTCCAAAGGCCGTATCATCGGCGCATCGGATATTGTTTATTCGCATTCTTTTGATGACGTTGCCTTTGGGGATCTCCTCAACACTGTCGAGAGTGAAGAAATCTGGAGACATTCCACACCCTCGTACAATTCTGATCCATTTGGGTTAGCGTTTTATCTGGAAGGTGGATTGATGTTGTGTGGTTTCGGTCAAGATTTGAAATGATTCTTAAGTCTTGTCATCAGTTCCGATGTCTTTTCGCATCTTCAGTTGCTCTTTTTGCCTAACCTTTTATCAATCGCTAAAAGTTATGGAGAAGTCATATTAGGGTGTATGGTTCTCTCCTAAAAAAAGAAATACATTGAGGACAAAGATTGCATTTCTTGTACCTCTGTCTTTCACGAATATCGGTAGTCTGTAAATTTCCGATACAATATTTTGTTGGATTCCTTGTAATATGATTTTCAGCAGCACCTTACGAATATGGCCCATGGGCTAATTGTTCGATCGTTGCCGTAGCGCAGGGTTTCTGGTACTTTTGAAATTGTTAGCAATATGAATCTCAACATTTCTTGGAGAGCTAGCCAGTTTTGTAGATTTTGTTTAGGAAGGACCAAATCAGGTCCTCCTCCTTCTCGGTTCCAGGATCGTTTGACTGGGCTTTCATCTGGGCCAGCTGCTTTCCCTTTTTACATATTTCTCAGGGCCCACCAAACTTGGCTTAGTCGACCACAAAAATTTGTGGACACAAAAATTTCTGGCTCAAAACTAGAATTACTCCTTTTAAAACCATATTTGCGATGCCCGTAACCATTTTTGGCCACTTCCATGTTTACCGCGCAGATATTTGTTGGCAGGCGGATGCACTCAGTACTGCGACTTTCAAGGAACGATACACTTAAATGAAAAACATGCTCAAGTTTTGGGGTCCCTGTAAAAAAACTACAAAAGGCCCAGAAAAGTTTGATGTAATTGCTGCAAAGCAGTGGTGGCGAAGTTTGAAGACGGGAAGACAGCAAACGTATACATGTGACCACAAGCCAGCTGGATGACGCATACGACTAGAGGTAACATGTTTATTTTTTATTTATTAGCCAATGGAATACAGCTAAGTTTCTCTAGTAAGGACTCATATTTGCGTTGTCCAATCTTTCCTTATAACAAAATTTCCTTATGTGGGAAACGACTACGTTACATGTCCTGTATGAACGTCCAAGTATGTTAACAACATACATGTGTGACAACACAAGCAACAGTGTGCAACAATATATTGCCCAAAAACTGTTTATAAAACAAAAACTGCAGTATACAGTTCAGGTATATGAACAAAATACAGTACAAGTCTAGTCATGAAATTAGGACTATTTGCTACAAAATGAGACTAGTAACAGACCTGGTGGCTTTTCTTTCCACACACTCACTGTCTCTAACTTGACCTCCGCTCGATCACTACACAAAGACAGCGTTGCTCTGCTGATGTCGTGCAACGAACTTTTGAAGCCAGCCACGAAACACTTCGAAGTCCTCGATCCCCATAGTTAGCGCGATGGAACTCGCCCTCTCTCTAATTAGCGGTCCAGTTAGCGGAAAGGTTTTAGCACGATACCAGGTAAAGCATTCCAGGAAACGTTCATTTACTCGACTGTCCGTCGAGCGACAAGCAATTTACTCTGAGCATCGAATCGGACGCATTCCACTCTCTTCCACGGTCATTACCCTTCCTTTTCGTTTGGATGCCATGATCTACAGGACGTAAATGTAAATGAATGAAATAGAAAATTGTTCGCGATTCCAGTAACACTCATGCCAATAGAATCACTTACATGTCGCCGTTTTCGATCCAATGAGCTTAAATAGCAGCGCGGACACAGTCATTCCATATTATCCAGCGTGACTTGCTTGAGTTTGCGCTACTGCAAGCTTCCTTCCGTATGGGTTCCAGGGTCCAGGTCCCAGAACTTCCATTGTTATGAATCGATCGTTCATGTAATACCTCAGTCAAAATTTTAATGCATAGGTTTTTATTCCGGGTGACAGAAGTCCGTAGGTGGGAATACTTGTATAGCCTACCGTCGATAATGGCCGCTGATTCATTCGAGTTGTGTAGTAGGCTTGCGATAGGTGTCATGGCACGGCTACCTCTTCATATCTGAGGTAATACTGTCATAAATGAGGATGTAGTAATAAATGAGTAGTGTAGCGCAATGATTGATATATCATTGGAAGGCTGGGATCATTCTCTTTTTGAAATTTCAGAAATATTGGTCACTGTGACTCACTTTGCGATTCCGGGTCACAAATGCCTTTTCACTAATTTAATATCGCGACCACACAGAATGTGTGTCCAATCAAGATGACTTTTTGTCAAGCCTATGTTTGTGTTGATGTGCGTTTGTGCATTCATGCACATTTGTCCGTCATCTGCTCATGTGGGCGCTCTGGCCAACATCCACAGGCCGTCTGAGCGCTCCTTGGTCTCCGTAGGTTGACAGGTGGGTCTGCCGTGTAGACCGGATGTAATGCCAATGCCATTTATCCCGAGGGGGAAGTCAACATCCCTCGCCACCCCCATGCCACGCATAAACTCGCACACACAAAATGAACATTGCTTCAGCTGTATCCTTTCCATTTACCTGGATTCCCAAGTGAGCGAGTCCCTGAATGACCCGGGTCCCACCAATTCTTTAATTCCAGCAGCATTAGAACCGCTCAAGAGCAGAATATTTAACCCTCGTCTGCCATGCAGCATGATTGCAAAATATAAACTATTTTGCAACTCGGATGATGAACCCATCCATGCTACAACATAGTCTTTGTACTGTCTCCCCTAAACTGACTGTGAGCATATAAACTCAACATGACATTATCTTTACTCACATTGGTCAGCTTCGATTCTCATTGTTTGAGAAGTTAGCTAACAGGTTTTGATGAAAACATTTTTGTTCCCAATTTTTCTTGTGCAATCTATACAATACACAAATATCTTCTGCGGGCATCTGTAATAAAGCAACTGGAAACAGTCCCACCCCTCTTTGTTTTCTGAAACTTGAAAACCTGCTTGGAAGAAGGGTTGACATCAGGCCAGGGCCAAAGTGTCATGAAACAAATCACTTTCCCTTTGGGCTTTCTAGACATTGGTTCTTGCTTGTTTTGTTGCCCTAAGGAGGTCTACCGCTAATAAAGATCATTTCTTTGTTAGTTCATTTTATTTTATTTATTTATTCATTTTAACAATGAATCTACACCCGTTGGCAAAATTTATTGAATCATTAGTGTCAGAGGATGTACATTCAGTTGTTTCATTTTTTAGAGGGAAAAAAAACAGATCACAGACATGAGACAATACTAAGTAATTTCAACTTTCTGGTTTTAAGAAACATGGAAATCAATCAGTCAAAAAAAAAACCTGATTGTCAGTAAACAGTTAATTTGTTTAGACTAAGCACAGGGGAAATCTTTTGAATCAACCCGTCAATTTCCTTTGTAAAACTAGCACTTGCGTCAGATTAGTCTTGTTAATCTGCAGGTAAACCATAGTGATCACCGCTACTATTATCAAACTTCTGAAAGAAGGTTAATTCCTGCCAAATGTTGCAAAAGTTGTTCACAGTCAGTTGTGTCAAAAATTGCACAGCAGAACAAATGGGAGGAAAACGGAGTCAACGTCTATGGCAGAACTGTAAGAAACTACCTAAAGGAAATAAAATTCACATACAGAAAAGCAAAATGGATGCTATCATTAATCCTAAAAGAGAAAAAGAAAATGTTACAATAGCAAGCGTGGACTTTAACTGACTGGATGATAGTCGAACTTGGTGATGAATGGCAAATTGCATTGGTCAAAGTAATGATACTGTAACTTTTGTTTGATGCCGCTCCAATGAGATATCAGAATCAGAATCATCTTGATTGGCCAAGTATGTAGAACACACAAGGAATTTGTCTCCTGTAGTACAGGCTACACTAGTATCATCAATAACGAGCCACTACGATAAGGAAGGACATGACAAATACGGATCGAAAGACTTTTCTGTAATGTAAGGGTACCGTTGTGCAGTAATACCACCCAATGACAGCTATGAGACAATGTGCAAAGTATCAAGCAGAGCTAAAGTGAGAAGTGGTAGAATACAATACTATAACGTTTGTGCAATTGGTGCAGATAATCTTTGTACCATTTTTTTAAAGTGACTAGTAGCAGTATTTGTAGAGCAAGTTTAAGTGTGCAGTTGTACAGAAAGTCCTTGAGGGCTTTCAAGTGTCTGGTGCTGTGGAATAGAGATCAGTGACAACTGTTCAAGTAT